CATAATTTATGATTTATAAAGTGTTCTTTTACTTAAAAATATACATATTATTACAATTATTTTAATGAACCCAGTAACCTACTAATAAAAAGCAACTACTCAAATGACTCGTTTATCATTGTGGTTTGTAAAAATCACATATTAACAATACATATTGTATGACTTATAATAGTTATAATTATCAGCGTTCTTATCATTTTTGTTTAGTGGAATAAAAAAATCTTAATAATATAAAATTACATAATAATCAAATAATATTATGCATATAGTTAACTATGCAATAAGCAATTATTGATCAATATAATAAAAAATCTATTTATTTATTAAATAATTTTTTTGGAAATGTCAGTAAGAAACTTTATTTTTTAAATTTTTAATTGTTTTTAATTAATATATATATTCTATTATTAGTCAACTTAATATTTATACAGCATGTATTTCTGATCATTTACACATTACAGATCTTGGCCTTTTTAAATATTTGGTAGAATTTACTTATGTAATATTTTTGAAAGATCTTAGGAGTACTGCGGTTTAATAAATTGATAAAATATTAGCAGTAATATCTCATTTTCAAAAACTTATACAATTTTTTGAAGGACTTAAAACCCTAAAACTTTATATAGTAGGCTATTATAGAACTTTAATGAAATTAATAGTTTTGTTTTAAATGCTTTGCATGCTAAAAAAAATGATCAATTAATTGATTTATATGTTCAATAAAATCAAATATATATGTTTTCTCAAAAAGATAATATTATAAATGCAGATCCAAAATATTTTGAGGTAAATACAATTGTAAATTAAAAACTTAATATTATAATTATAATACTTAATATTTAATTTTATTATATTTATAGAAAATAATTAAAACTTGGTCTTCTAAATTTGTATATTTACTTGGTTATTATTTAAAATCAAATTTATCAATACCAAAATTATATGCTTGGTAATATCTTCTGATAGATTTTATAAAAGTATATGAAAATTTAAATGGTATGATAACAGAAACATTTGAAATGAGTCATAAGTTCTTTATTGAAGATCCTTATTGAAAAACTAATAAGCGTAATGTTATTCTATTTAAAATCAGGTAAATTAATCTAAAAATAAAAAGATTTATAATTTAATTTATAATATTCAAATTAATTAATTACAATTCAGATTTGGCATCGAACTATTATAGATATATGCAAACATATTTAATTTTCTGGTATTAAGCCATTTACAATCAGATATCATCAAAAAATTTATCTTTTCTAAAATTCAATAACAAATGATGAATTTTTTAATAATCTTGAATGTGAAAAATTATGTTAAAAACAATTGGTAGGTATTAAAGTGTTGGATTTTTGTTTAAATTGGTATTTAAGTATAATGGAGGATGTGCCACTTAGTTGGGATTAAAATATGATTAAAATTGAAACATTTACATATCTTAAACTAACCACTGGTGAATATATTCATGCTACTAATGATTATTATAATTTACCTTAGTTTAGTAATATAAATGAAGCAGAATATAATCAATATCTAACAGATGATAGGTACTGCTATGGGCGGGTTCTTTTATTGGTTAAAATTTATTATCTTTTTTATTGGAACCTTTAGCATTCAATGGTATGGTTTCGTAAATGTTAATCAACCTTATCTTTATGAATGCCCTCTTCTTAAAATTCTTCAAGAGTTGATATTTATTCCTATTAGATCCATTCAATATTATACTACGATTTAATAGTAATAATCAATATCTTGTGAATAAATTTATGGGTAGTGATTTATTGAATTTTTAGATTCATTTAATTTAATAATCATATATGGAATATATTATAAGAAAAATATATAAGTAAATTTAATCTTATAAAATGGATTTTGGGCTGTTACATAAAAATTTACATAATATTTAATATTTTATAAATCAGTTTCGTCTAACAACTGTTCAATGAATAACATATAAATTAACAGTCAATGAACATATATTATAGACATCTAAAAATCTAAATTGGGTCAGGAAGTAACCACGTCCCAGATGTTGGACGGTTGGTTTTGTTTAATTTCTTTAATTTTAGTTAATTTTAGTCTAACGTGATGCAAGGTTGGTATTGATCTTAGTTTAATTTTACTCTTCTAGATAGAAATTTTTATATTTTCTTATCTTACTCTTTGTACTTGTATAAATACGTAAATTTTAATAAAGACTATATAAAACTTCCGCACCATAAAAAAAAAAAAAAAAAAGGTAAGCCCGTTGGGTTCCCAGTCTAACTGGTAGTCTCCGGTAGAGCTGGTTGGGACGGCATGGTGCTATGCGAGGGATGCATAGACGCTTTTCCAAGCCTGTGGGCACCAGCTTCGGCTGCAGTCTCCAGTAGGGCCGCCGAAATACTTTATTTACCAAAATATTCAATTAAAATTTGAAAATTTTAAAACCTCCGAGATTATATTTTATTTTTATTTTTTTAAACTAATTTTCTACGGAATGAAAAGTTTAGTTACGTTTATGATTAAGGATTAAGTAAAAATTTTTCGAAGTTCATTATTATAATTATTATAGAATACTCTATCTAATCTTACAAGGATGATGATGAGGACTTTCTTCAACATCAAAATATTCGTAGCTTTTCTTTTTAAATTGTGAAATTGTGCGAGATTTTTTACTTTTTGAGCTGATCCGTAAGAAAATAAAGGATCAATAAAACATTTATTCTCTCCAACTTTCCCATTCATTTCGTCTTATTAACGTAATTTTTCCAAAAGATAAATTTCAATTTTGATGATAAATTGCATTAAGAAATAGTTAAAATCGGTCAGAAAAAACTGAAAATCGATTGCTGTTCGCGAAGCATTAACTCAATTATATTTTCCCCGGCAGTTCTTCTCTTTCTATTACAAAAGTCCCAGTCCCTTATTTCTAATATAATATATATAAATAGCACTTTTTTTTTCATGCGCCTTATTTTATTAGTTCAAAGCTTACAGCAATAAGTTGGAACAATTTTATCAGATTTTGACTAATGATATAATAATAAAAAATCTATTCTCACAGAATACTTTTACAAAATGTGAAAAAAAAATAATTTTAATTTACATTATAAATAAATAATCGATTTTTTTTTTTAAAAAAAAAAAAAAATTATCCTAAAGCTTTTCTTAACTCATTCCATTTTCTTTGTAATACTTCTCTTTCATTTTCACTTTCAGCGTATCTCATTTTAATCTCAATTAACATATTTTCTAAATTTGATAATTGATCTTCTAAATTATTATTACTTTGAACGAGAGTAACATTTTTTTCTGCTAAAACATTCATTTCTTCTCGTAATTTGTCTTCAATTTCTACTGGTTGAATTTCAATGGTTTTACGCAATTCTGCAACTATTGAATGTAATTCATCATTTTCATTTTGTACTTTTGCTAATTCCACTTTAGTATTAACTAACTCATTAGCTAATTCAACATGCTCTCGATTGAGTGTTTGTAAACTACCTTCTAAATGTTTAACATGACTTGATAATTGATTATTGCTTGATCGTAATTTATCTGTCGTTTCGGCTTCTGCTAATACTTTTCTTTTTTCAGCTTCTTGTTGTGCATAATATGCTTGTTGATATTTATTTAATTTTCGGGTGGTAATCCGTATATTATATGCATCCTTAACGAAATCATTAGTGTGATATTGCGTCTCGTTAACTAATTGAGCAAGAACTCCAGTATGTGTAATCTAAAAAAAAAAGGATAAATTTTAGAATTAGAAGTTTTTATTTTTAAAAGAGATTGGAAATAAAACAAGATTTTTTTTCTTTTTAATATCAACCTGATAATTTTCAAATAATCCACTTTTTAAATATTCTAAAACCGTTTCAAATTCCATTTCTACGATTCTTTTTTCATTTTTCTTTAAAAGTGCAATACTAAATCGGAATATAGCTTCAATTCCTTCAGTGAAAATAGTATCATATATTCTAAAAACTAAAGATAAAGGGAATTTATATGCAAAAAGTGTCATGAACCATTGTGAAGCATACATTGAAGAATTTATTCCCTGCACTTGTAAGTGACTATGAACTTTAGGTAGCATTTCTTCAACCAGTCGATCAAATTGAAAAAGGCGAAGTTGTAAACCATCCATGCCAGGCAAGAAATGGCCTCTCATATTATAAAATTTCATTAATCTAACAAGTACACAAAATGCTTCTTCATCAGGCATCTAAATTTAAAATATAGAATAAGTTAGTAAAGAACTTAATCATTTATACATTACTTATTATGTTGCAATAAAAACCTACATTTAAAAGTAAAGGTCCAACAACAAAGGAAATTCCTTGACAATATCCAACATCCGTATCATAAAGCGAATATGCCTTTACTACATTAAATAATCCTTCTTGGCCTATACCGTCTTGATCCTGAAAATATTTGTGCTTAGGAAAAGTCCTATTCAAATCTCTCATGATCATTTTTTCATGAGGACTCGTTTCCTTTAGCAATTGAGCATAGGTTGACTCTAACTCACTATCTTTTGATTTTGACATAAGTTGCCATATCATACCACGCAAAGTTTGTGGAATTCCTTTCTGAATCATTTTTGATAGTTGACGCGGTTGAGTCCTTGCAACCGTTTCATAGTCAGAAATTATTTGTCCCCAGAAATCTAAAAAAAAAAAAAAAAAAATTATTAATCAGGTTATTTAAATTCAAATAAACTAGGAAAATTTAAAAAATTTTTACCCCAATCAATGTCATCGTCAATTTGACCCCCGTTAGCTTCATGTTGCACACGTTCAAAACTAGCCTTTATGTCGGCAATTCCTTGAAGAGACATCCTCTTTGCCTTTGGATCTTCTTGTAACATTTGATTTTCCCTTTCAAGTCTTGCTAATAATAAATCATAATTAGAACCAGTAGAACCAGTAGACGTCATTGATACATTTGACATACGATGGGGATCATTTTGTTCACCGCTACTGGTACTTTTTGGTGAGGTTGAAGTAACAGTAGAAGTGGTTGAACGTGGATTAAAAAATGTTGAAATTGATTTTAACGAAGTGGGAGTTCTTGGGAAACCCCAATCCGATAAATTCCATTCTTTAGATGACTCTTGTGCAACTAGAGATTCATCATCTAAAGAAATATCACTTAATTCGGGATTCTCTCCAAGAGAAGCTATGGATATACGATTTTTAGAATTTTTGTAATCAATTATATTTTCAGGATTTTCATTTTCTCTCCCACTTGTAAAATCGATAGATTGATGTATTAAGGTAGAAGAAATACTACTAGATTTTGAAGTAAAAAGTTCACTCATTGAACCTCTTTCGCTTTGTTTATCTTCAGAAGAAAATGAAGAGAAATTGGCATTATTTGGTAAAATTTCCGTTTCATGATCTTCTGGAACAATTTGCAAATTTTCTCTATTATCATTATATAATGGAATATTTTCCTCAGATAAAGTATTTGTAACATAGTCTTGACTCGTATTAGAAATAATAGTATTGGAATTAATAACAACCAATTTCTTATTTTCTAATTTATCAAAAATAGATTCTGGAATATTTTCTGAAAGATTCCCTACCATTCTGTTATCATTATTCTCGTCCATAATTTTAATTTCATTATTATCACCAGATTTATCTTCAGATTCTTCTGAGTAACTATCTAATAAAGGATTTTCTACAAATTCATTAACATTTTTCTCCAAAGATTTACCTAGTTTGCTCTCACCGGAATTATCCTCGGACTTATCGGAGGTACTTTCGCTCGGAAATTCTTCTTCATTGGGGTCAAGTTTGTTGTCTGTTTCAGTTGCTTCATCGAGTTCTTTTTTATCTTCGGAAATATCAACGAAAATTTCCTCTGCACAGGAATTAGGTTCTATCTTAACCTGATCTACAGATTCAATAATTGTTTCTTCCTTTTCTAATGAATCATCCTTTTCATATGATGTGTCACTTTCATGATCAGAAACATTATCATTTTCTTTTTCTGATGCATCAGTTTGAAAAGAATCGGTACTAGAAGTACGACTTGAATTATCACGTCTTGATTTTGTAATTGAAGTTTGATCTTTTTCGTTGGAATTGGTAATTACAATATCATCAACTTTCTTTTCTTCGGTTAAAGCATTTTCTTCCTGTTTGCTTAGCTTTTCATGATCACTTTCATAGTTTGAGGCATAATCAATATAGTCATATTCATCAGCTTGATTATCATAAGCATCGGAAGGTTCAGAAGCATTTTCTTTAGTAGGAACATTGGCTGTTAAAATTGTTGGAATCTCAGTAATAGGAAGTTCATTATTTTCAACGATTACTGACATATTTATTTATTTTTTTTATGTTATTTTATTTTTATTTATTTAATTTTTTTTTGGTTATAAAGTTTCTTAAAAAAAAAAAGGATTGGCTGAAAGTTTCAATATAAAAAAGTTGGTCGCAATCAAAAGTCCCAAGCTCTTGTTGCATTACCAATGAAAAAAAAAAAAAAAAAAGATAATTTATAGATTGTATGTATATATAAACAGAACAGAAAAGTGAGAAACAGAATTAATATATCGAATATTATATCATTTTTGAAAGTAGAAACGATTTCGAAGTATTATATGACTTTTCATACCATGTACTTATTTAGAAAGATGCACGCTACAATTTTTTTTTTTTGAAATATTAGTATGAGTATGCCAAAATTTCGTGGAGCATTGCGTTAATTACAATTGAAACAACAATTGATGATCTTCATATTTTTAACCACTTATAGACATCCCGTTGTTTCATAACTTCGCCTAGAAATTTTGAAACATCCATACATTCCAATACATCCAATCGTAAAAAAAAAAATAATTTGGGATAATGATTCAAAACTATAAAAAAGGGACCCCTAGAACTCTTTTGATAAAACCATACCTGGGGTTGACATTCCTTTGGCAACCACCAGGATATCCGAAAAGATTAAACGGTTATCCATATAAAGATCGGATATAATCGCACATTCATTATGTCCGTATTAAGGTCGGCTAAAAAAACCAATAAAATAATGTATGACGACAAAAAAATCCTTGCTCGAATTAAAAGAAAATCCGTTCATAATTTATATATAAGTAAAGGTCGAAGTTTTGTAGTCGATTGCTACTAAACATACAATTCATTCACCATTTGCTTTTCGGAATTATTCATAAAGTAAAAAAACACGATTACAAAAATGTATGTAAGATCCAATCGTGTTGATCGGATTTTCAATATTTGAAGGCTTTATTTACAAAATTGGAGGGATATTTAGATCTTTTTAAAGCGATTCGCACTTTTTAACGTTCAATCTGATTGGAAGATGAAATTACTATACGCCGCATTAGTTGGGCATTTATCTTGTGTACATTTTTAATGGTGACATACCAGTGACATGCCCAGTAGCATACATAAATTATATTACATACTTTGAGAATTAACTTTATTTTTCAGTCTTAACTAAAAAGAAAACGAAAATCTCATTCCTTTAACTATCCTTAAAACACGACTCTCCCTATCTTACCTCCATATTATCCACTTCTTTCCCGACATATTTTTGCGTATATATACGCATAAGGTTTCCTTATCATTACATTCATACTTTAATTTAATAAAAGTCTCGTTTTTTTTTTTTTTTTTTTTTTTTTTTTTTTTTTTTTTTTTTTTTTTTGATAAAAGGAAATGCGTTTACCGTCCGTAAACTTAGAAAAAGTTAGCTTTGAAAATGTTTTAGAGAAAAGGTTACCTGTTGAACATGTGAATGATTCTGGATGTTTTTCTTCAAGTACTTCATCGGAACCTCTAAACAGCGAATATATTGAAAGTCCTCAGAGTTTACTAGTTCCTTCAAGTACAATAGCTTCTGCTATGTTTGAACGAATTCGTGGTACTCAAAGATCAGTGAAAAACGAATATGTAGAGGTTTACACGGGTGACGATGACTCTGATAGTGAGTCAGCTGGTAAAACAAAAAAGCAAAAGGTGTTCGACATGAATGACTTGAATGATGAACGTAGCTTGGTTTTTGAGGTATTTTTATTTGAATAACATTATATTTAACTGTGTATTGTCTAATCGCATTTATTTAATTTAGGCAATTCCACCTTTATTAGTAGCAGTGGCTGGTTTAATGTTTGCTGGTTGGCTTTTAGATGCCGTTCAAGTAGGTGATTTGGATAATCCTCGCATCATTAATTGATCATCCCAACTAATAACACCAACCTTACAAATTAGTATTGGCCCGTTTTTATTAGAGTTAAAGAACTATTTATTTTGGTGCCGGTATTGTTAAATTTAAAAGGAAATCTAGAGATGAATTTAGCATCTCGGTTATCTACATCGGTATGAAATGATTAGGATATTTGAAATTTTTTATTTCTATAATGATAAAAAATTCTAACCTTGACATTTGAATATGATAAAAAGGCAAATTTAGGAGAATTAGATAAACCCGCTGCGCGATACGCGTTAGTTTGGGGTAATTTGGCGGTCCTTCAAGTTCAATCGCTAATTGTTGGTGCGGTTGCTGGATTGTTTTCATTTATCGAAGGGGTCATGTTTCATTCAGATCACGTCAGTACTTACGATGAGAGCATGCTCGTAATAGTCGCCTCAATGATTTGCGCAGCGTTAAGTAGTATGATATTGGGAACTTTTATGTGCGGTTTAATAATATTATGTAGACGTTTTCGTATTAACCCTGGTGAGTCTATCCTTCTTTATTTCCTTTTATTTCAATTATACTATAAAATCCAAGGTTAATTTAAATATATCTTTGAATCATAATAAAGATAATATTGCATGTCCGATGGCTTCGTCACTGGGTGATTTGCTTACCTTAATCATTCTAGCGACATGTGGTGAAATTTTATTGCAACACCTTCGTAAGTGGAATCTTTTTCCTTTTTTTACCTTATTTGACATGCGCTAACGCAATTACTTATGTAGCCTTTCTTCAAATTTAGGTACGAGTTTCAGCACCATTATGTTTTTTATTCTTATGATATGTGTTCCCTTGTGGGTGCGGTTTGTATGGTCAAATCATTATGTTCATGACTTGCTAATGAATGGTTGGAGTCCACTATTTATGGCCATGGTCATTGCCAGGTATGTTATCATATGATTACATTCAAGCTTTATATTTTGTCCAATATAATATTAATTTCATATAATTTTTAATTTTTCAGCATGGCTGGTTTGGTTTTAGAGCGATATATCGAACGTTATAATGGACTTGCACTTTTAACCCCGGTATTAAATGGTATTTCCGGTAATTTAGGATCTATTTACGCGTCAAGAATATCCACTCGTCTTCATAGTGGTGAAGAAGAAGATTACCGTCGATCGGAGATCACACTATTCCTAATTCATATACCAATTGAGATCGTTTTTTTAATATCTGCTTGGTGGTTCAACGTTGGGCACGTTAATCTTTCTTGGAGTTTTGCAGTCACTTATTTGCTTGTTTCGATAATATGTGTATGTGTAATTATCTTTTTTTATTATCATGATTGTTTCTCGTTACTAAATCGAAATTTTATTTTTATTTAAATAATCTATATTAGGTGATATTTACCCTTAGTCTCTCTAAAAGATTGACCCTTTGGTTATGGAAAAATAAATATGACCCTGATAATTATTCTTTACCTTACATGTGAGTTATAAAATAAATTTATTTATTTATTTATTTTCGCGAATAATTTACCAATTATTTAATTGATTATTTTGTAGAACCGCTATTGTTGATGTCGTATGTACCGGATTATTGGTTTTATCTTATTGGGGATTATCTGAAATGGGGCTACATGTTGAGAATCACATAAATAGCGTTCATCATCATTATAATAATTAAAAGTAATATAATTTTATTTAACGTTCGAACTATTTTTATTTTTTTTATTTAAACGAACCCCCCCCCCCCCCCCAACAAAAAACTAGACTTTTTTTTTGTAGATATATAACATACACTTTTGCTTTATTTAATAATTTTGAGATTTAGATCAGTTTTTTTTTTTTTTTTTAAAAAAAAATTATTACCTTCTTTTTGTATCAAATGTATCAACATTAAATATTCAATGTAATATTATTTTTGGGGAGAAATCGTGTTTCTTATTACGTGTAAATCAATCGCCGAATATAACATAGCTGACTTCGGATGGATTGTAATACATCAATAATAAGTAATACTAAGTAATACTATTATTTCCTGCATGATCTCCGGAGAGAATCAAGGCTCCATCAAGAAAAGCCCGGAGAAAAATCCCCCAAGCACCATTTTCATCTCAATCCATTACAGTCCCACAACTTCGGCACTTGTACATTTCAGATCCTATTTTTTTGAATACTTCCACACCAGCTGCAAGTTTTTGAAGTATATGCCTCATTTTGGATAATAACAGCCCAACAGAGCATTTTACGAACAGTTTTTCGCATTATATTTCTTGTTTTTCGATTTACCATATTTGATACCTCAAAAGGAGGAATGATAATGGCATCAAATTCGTGAGTAAAAAATGCAACACTCTTTTTATGCATTTCACTTTGCAGATGTTTCTTTTTTCGTATCATCCGAGAAATTGTATTATCAAGTCGCAAGGCCTTTTTATTTTTACGTTTTGAATTAAAGGCAGTCAGCTTGTCCCTTATAGAATGAAGATTATCCATATATTTGCATAAACGAATAATTCGTCCAATGTCGTATTGGCCAATTTTATCTACACCTTTAGTAGGGAGTATCATGTGAAGGGTATATGAACGCCAGGATCAATGGAGACTGCATGAACAGAACCATCCGCTCTGTTTTTGCATCTCATAACCCATGAAAATTTCCATTCATTAGTTTTACGAATATATGTGATTTTACAATCAGATGTTATCTTGTGAGGAGTTTGTATCCGGTTAGTATCCGAATAAAAAAATCCATTACCATCCGGTTATCCAATAAAATTTTTTTTGAAAATCCGTTAATTTTACATATAGTTTTGCTTTAATAAAAATGTTTAAAATTTTATAATAAAAATTTATAAATCTTAACTGGAAATATAATAAATTACATGTAATTACAATATTTTAATAAAAATTTTTTTTAACAAAAAGTTTATTGTAAAATTTCGTTTTTTTTGAAAAACACTTATTCTACCCTTTTTAAACTCACTACCTTTATATATATTTTTTTGCTTACACAAACGTGTACATGTAAAAAAACATCCTTTTGTTATTTTTGTTATACTTATTGCCTAATGCATCCTTTTATTACACTATATTAACTATAATATTCCTATTACGAATATTTACCAATTACATTATGATTATAAATCAATATATTGATTTATAGTGTTTTTGTCTACTTTCTTCTGATTAATTTTCCAATTATATTCACTAACTTTTAATTCTAATATAAATGATGAATATTAATAAAATTTTAATCATTTCTTTTTAAGAACATAATACAATCAAACAATTCTAGATTTCTTAGCAGTCAAAATATTACCTGTATCTAAAAACAAATCTTTCTGAAGGGGTCATCAATAATCCAATTAGTTAATAACTATCAAAATTTAGTTTGACATTTTTCTGAATGTTTCTTATTATATTAAGTTTTTATTATTTTATCCTATATATAATTTTTAATAAAATTAGATACAAAAAATATTAATAAAAAAACAAGATTTTGACTGATTTAAATATTATACCTTTGATTGCTCTCTATCTTTAGTTATTTTATGAGCAAACCATAAATAACTACTTCTATTACCTTTTGAACCATTATGTTTAAGTTTTATATTACATTTTATTTCATCTTTCTTTATTATTTGACAAACTATAATTAGTTCATTATTATCATTAAAGTCTTCAACAAACTGTGTTCATATCCAGTTAGTCTTTTTCTTGTAAATTTTTGTTATTTTTTTAAAAGTTTAGCTAAGTTTTTATAAGGAATATTTGGAAGAGTTGTATTAAGAGAAGGAGAAATTAAAAAAAAAGCATAATATTACCAGTATATTGTGATATTTAAAATGTTTAAAAAAAGTAAAAGAAAATATATAGTCTTTTTAAATTGAAATATAAATGTAAAGATTGAGAATAAATTGATTATCATATTAATTTTTTGCATTTATTTCATTAGATTCTCAACTTACATAAATTTTAATATAGTATAAATCATCAGACAAGTATATCTAAGTCATCTGATTGGATTAGATGCTTTATCTGGATAATTGTTAAGATAATATTTTTCTATCCAAATATCTGATTTTACTAGATATCTTTTAGTATGTTAAACCCAAATACAAATACTAGAATAGGCCACTTATTATTACATTTTTTTAAAAATAAAAAGGTCATAAATCATGTTTATAATGATCTAGAGTGATAACAGGCTTATGATGATATGTGAAAAATATCAATAGATTGTGAAAATAGGCATAAAAATAGTTCTATATGAATTTTGAAAAATTTTGTGAATGAATTGTTATTGTTTATTGTAAATTTTTTCAAGATTGAAATAATAAAGATGAACCTTGTTGATTTAAATTTGATTATATATTATGGTTAATTATCTTATCCCTAAAATTAATTACAAAAAAATCAGAAAAATAATTTTAAAAAATAAAAAAAATTATAAAAAAAAATCAAATAATAATAATTATACTTAGCAGTCAATACTTTATCAATTGTTTCATCGATAATATTTGCAGATATTTTTTCGAGATAGCATTCTAATATGCATAATAGTTTATACGAATTTACATTTATCCTATATACATGATTTTTGAAGTTTCTTGTTCTCATGTTCATTAATATCTTTTCCTATATAAACAGTTTAAATTTATCTTCAATAGGTAGAGATTTTACCAAAACTTGTTATAATAGATTAATATATAAATTTTTAATATAAAAATGACAGTATTAGAGTATTCAGACTTGTGTATTTACATATTCACTGCATTTTTTTCTACTTTTTTGCATTTAAAATGCATGTATATTTTTAGAGGATTTTTTGTATTTCACATTTTTTGCATAAAATATATGATTTATTATAATATTATTAGCTAAAATATTTTAGATCTGTTACATCTCCTTTTTTTAAAAAAAATGATTTTTACTTCTGAACGATAAGTAAAAAAATCCAATTTATAAAAAGCATTTTCGGTTAGAAAATCAAAAATTACAATGTAAATTTTATAATCATATTGTAAAGCATAACCAAGATCAGTCATTGATACCCATATAGTTTTTTCAAAATATATAAAAAAAAGATAATTTAATAATAATAAAACTTCAATTAGACAAACTACTATTTTAACACTTTAAAGAGTTAGATTTGAAAAGTAAAAAATAAATTTATATATAGTTAAAGCATTCATAAAGGCTAATATACCTTTAAAGAAAATATATAAATTAAAACCTTTATTTGAAGAATATTTTTGTAATAGTAATATATTTTATATGTTTTTAATCAATTTTCTATTATATTTACTAATATACTATAATTAATTTAAGGTGATACTATTGTTGGACCTAAGTAATTATGTAAAAGGTACCTTTCAGTTGTTTTTAAGATAGAAGCAGAAAAATTAAAATAAGAATTAAAAAATTATAAAATTTCTATTACAATAGATAAAATTACAGATAGTTATAAGAGAAATGTACTTAATATTTTATTTAGTTTTCATAATACAAATTAGTAAAAATCATTTTTTAGAAGCAGTAAATAACAGTGTTAGCAAATTTCAAGATCATTTCCCTTTTTTTGAAGTGACTTAGGTCACTTTGTATATGATCACGTGATAGATTTCATAGTAAAATTATCACATGATTAAGTCATTTTAAAGTCACTTCAAGGTCATTTACCAATACTGGTAAATAATACTACAATTACACAATCTTTTATTAATACTATTAACTCTTATAACATTTTTTTTTGACAATTTAAATTTTTTTATTAGTGATATTACTTCTTATATGAAAAAGCTTATACAGATATTTTATTTCCTTTTATTTTTCATTTATTTCATAATACCTGTCTTGCTTATACTTATAATTTGGTAGGAGAAACTTGGATAGATTTTTGAAAATTTTAAATTATTAGATATAGTAGTTAAAAATATTAAAGCATTATTTATATATTCTATAGCAAGAAAAATAAGATAAAGAAATCATTTAACTTTAAATGCTATTTCTTTAAAAAAAATTTCATTTAATTTAGAAACTTCTACACAAGATTTGTCTATTTCTTTACTGCTATTATCTGTAAAAATAAGGTAGAATTCTTGGTTTAAATTTGTTATTTGGATGAATAATTATTTTAATCATTTTGTTACATTTTTATACAAGAAGAAACTATTAAAGAAACTAAAGCTATAAAATAATTAGTAAAAATTTTCAAAGGTACTCAAAAATGCTTTTTGTAGATATCTTAATTAAATTTATTTCATTTAATGCACAAAGGTAAATTTATTTTATTTTGTATCTATATTTATTAATAAAATCAAAACCTAATTATTTTTTTATATGTAAATTAATCTTGGATTTAAAATTCTTTAAAATAAGAAAGTTAGTGATTGCATCTCTTATTACTTCTAAAATAGATCAAATGAAAGCATTTTTACAAAATGGTATTAATAATCCATCATAATAATATAACTATTATCATATAATCAGCAAAATTATGATAACACCTTCAATATGCATACTATGTCTCAGTCCCAAGCTCAGGCCTTAGAGTTTTCTCTATATTCTAAATGTGCAAGCAATTTTGAGTTCTGAGTATATTAGAATTGACCAATCATCGATAAATTTCTATAGAATTAAATAGTATTGTACCCTGGATTAATTAGTGTTGATCTTAGATTAAATCAGTAGTGATTATATTATGCATTGATTCCTGTAATTTGAAATTTGAAATTACGAAAATCATAAAATTTGAAATTATGAAAATTACAAAATTTTTGAAATATTGAAAAATTAGATAATTTGCAATAATGATATGTCTCGCTTTGAAATATTAGAAAGTTAGATAATTATTTGCAAATTTGTTTGATGCTAACGTATTTTGATATAATTTTATAAAAAGAAAATTTTTATCACAATTTTGTTTTTTCTAATTATCAAATATTTTCTTAATTTCTAAAAATGCCTAATATTATTGAATGGTCTGAAGAAGAAATACAACTTTTGATCGATTTAAGAAGAGAGAAAAATGAAGATTATTGAAGAAGATTCAGTAGGTCGAAGTTACCATTTTGAAATGAAATTACAGTGCAGATCATAGTAAATTTGAAGATAGCTTTTACTAGTATGCAGGCTAGAGACAAGTTTAAAAGAATGATCAAGGATTGTAAAGTAAGTAAATTCATGTAAAAAAAAGAAGATTAATTATATTTAAAAAAATATATATAAGTTATTAATTTTAATTTTTTAGTTATTTCAAAAATATGTTGAAGGGAAATCTGATAGAAGATGAACACATGTAGGAGAAGTATTTGGTAAGCAATTTGATGATAGATTTTAGAAGAGATCCAGTTAGCATAATAAACCTTCTAATTGATATTGATAAAAGAGAACCATTATTAAATTTAGTATTTTTATTTTTTTTAGCATTTCATGTAGAAAGAAGAAGGCGAGATTTGTTAAGAAATCAAGGTAAAAAATTTATTTAATTATATTATTCTAATCTATACTTAATTATTTACAATATATATTTTAAAATCATTAACTTCTAATTGTTCTCCTAACTACCTTTCTCCTTCACGTCACTCTCAATCTCTTACTAATTCCAACCAATTCGATTCTAATGTTTCTTTATTATTGTCTCTCCTTCTTTTATCTATTACATTATCTTAATTTCAGTTTTTTTTTGTAAATTTTTTTCTGAATAAAAAAAAACCTGAATAAAACTTGTCACTTCTACATGATGTTTAGGATCAACAGATATAGATTAAACTATATCTGACCAAAAGCAAGCATATATCATAATAAACTTAAAAAAGAAATCAACCTTAAATAGAAATATCAATTACAGTTGAAACTGCCTAACCATATGAGTTACATGCATTTATAGAGGTGTTACCATTCTGTGATTTGGTGTAATTGTTATAAAGTTATTAATCATCTTGTATTGTATAACATACAAGCATTTTATATAATTTATATTTCTGTTACAAAATATCCCTGTAATATAATACCCTGGTTTATAATATCCTATCATTAAATGTATCCGGTATGTTACAAAGTACCCACAGGTACTATTCAATTTTTAAATCAGATAAATTGTAAAAGACCTGGGGTATTTTAGGTAATGCTAGACGATAATAATGATGGCTATTCCTATTGACTTCAACGTTTTTCTAATTGTTTATCATTTTTTCTCCTAATTCAATATCTGAAAATTGTTTCCAAAACTGAACAAAGTATTCTAAAGCATAAAGTAATTCAAAAAGACATGTTTTATCACTTTGAAGCTTATTTAAAACATTACAGTAAGGTGATAAAATTTCTTGTAAAGTTTCTATTATATTCGACTAATTATTATCAAGAAAATTTTACAAATGTCTTTATTTAAATAAATTTCATTTGCATTATTTAATGTTGAAGAACTTGCTTCTTCTGAAGTTAATTGTGAATGCTCATATCAAATTGCTAAATTCTAAAAAAGATATAAATAATAAATTAATTGAATAAAATAAAACAAATAATATTATAATTTAAGAATTTATATTTACTCTTAAAGCCTGTTTAAATTGAACGAGATTTTTAAAGCAAAAGTAATGACTATTCTATCTAGTTTCATATGGAATCATAATTAAATAATATTTGTTATACAACTATTTTTGTAAGTCTCGTAATTTACTAATAAAATAGCTATTATTTCTATTTCTAAAATATACTGTTACTGTGATTGCTTTAGTTGATGCATTTTTTTAAGGTAAGCGATTCATTAAAAATAAAAATATCATAAATTGCTAATTGACATTGATGTGCAAAATAAGGTAAAAAAACAATGTGAGAATATTCTAACTGAAGTCATCGTCTATTATAAATTAAAAAATAAAATATTTATATTTGGTAATGATATATAAATGCAATATTTATTTAATTCTTACTGAGCTCTAGCATAAGCTACCATACTATCAGAAATTATAGCAATTATTTTTGCACCTAATTTATCTTTTGCATCTTTTATTAAATCTTCAATTTTAAGCATTATTTCAATTATACGTTCTCTTTCATTACTCACATTTGATATCTTCTATATTAAAATTTCACCTAAAAATGTAATAAATAATACATCAAATATATGCTGATTTAAAACATTTTTTTATCTATTGAATGCTAGTATTACACCAATTCTATTATTACTTAGCTTTTCTTTTCATAATAAATCAATTTTTTTTTTCATTATTTAATATATGATTTGATAATACTTTTCATCCTAATAAAACTAAATTTGGATTTAAAAACTCAAATAAATCTAATGTTGCTTGATTTTCTATTCATTAAAATAGGAATCCATTTGATACTATTACTATTTAATAAAAGATGTTCAAATATAGGTTATTCTTTTTTTGTAGATATCTAAATAAGAATATTTACCATAATATTATTACCAGTTTTAACTGAATAAAGATGATGTTTAGATGATGATGTTAATGTTGAAATAAAGGATTAAGTTGAAGATATTTTTTCTTCTATTGGTTTAAAAAAAACAGTATCAAAATTACTTCATATAGATTTTAAGTATTTTAATACTTTTTTTTTCCAATCTTACCAGAATCTGAAACTGATTTTAAATGTTTTTTTCTTATTAATTCTTCATTTTCATTATCAGTTAAATTAATAATAGCATCTACTTCTTCCTTACTACCAATTTTTCTTGAAAATATTCACAATTTTTTAAATGATTTTTTACTTATGGTTTTTTATTTGTAAATGTAAGCATTGAAAGTTCACTTTCTTCTAAATTCTCAGAATATGCAAGACAAATAGCATAATTATTCTATGCATTTTGTTTTTCAAGAATTTTAATATATTGTGTTAGATGGTGTTTTTTTTTTCTAGTATTCATTTTAGATACTGTAAATGTGAAAATAAAGTGAAATTTTTTTATTTTATTTAAAAAAATTTTTATTGTTATATAAGATTATCTATTAGACACATTGGAAGTAGTATTGGAATTCTTCCAATAGCCAATTTCAATAGCATAAAAATTTGATTGGAAGCTTCCAATGCACATGACCTATTGGAAGATCAAAAATCTTCTAATACTTCCAAATCTTTCAATAGGTCTTCCAATTCCAATAAAAAGTTATTGGAAGCTTTCCAAGCACATCACTGCTCTAGGCGGTATTGACTCCAACAAACAACTGCATTATAAGCATATCTCGTCAAGCCCATCCAACGTTTCAATAGCTACTTTTGAGGGTGATTTGGATACACTTTGATTAGCAGTCAGTATACAATTGAGAGTAGTTTCCAAGTGTTATCACTTATTACGCGTTGATGTTGTTCTGATCTTTGTCTTGCGCTTTTTTCCTTAACCTGGCATTCTCGTCGGTGAATAGCGGCTCTTCTTCCTTGCATTCGGCAAATAAAAACCATGTTGATTGCAAGGATATCTTGGGAAAGTTTGTGTTTATCAGAGGTCATATCGTCGAAAAGAACCACAAGTTTTATAGTATGGAGGGAGAGTATATACTAGATGAGGTAAAAGGCGAAGGGCAGAGTCAGTCACGATGGATAACCACAATTTCTGAAATCATTTCTTTCCAATAAGGTCTTAAGATCTGATTGTTTGAAGTTGACACCCGATCCAATATCGCTGATGAATTCGTAGGTTAGAAATTGAGAGCTGAGAAGTTGTTTCTGCCATTCAAGATCCTCTTTTGCTTGACACTAGAGATCCGAGCATAGAGGAACCTTTTTTTTGGTGATGGTGGTGGTGGCGGTGTTATCGACATTTTGTGAAGTCAACTCTGGAAAAATAGAAGATATGTTGTAAAAACGAGTCCCAGAAGGAGATGCTTTAGCTGTAATCTTTCCTTGCTTTAACCAACAACGCAAGGTGTCTGATGAGATACCAAGTTTCTGGTATGCGGATAAATACATAAGGAGAGGAAAGATGTAGCTTACGATTTTTGGAACATTTATATACGATTTTCATTGATAAGCATTACTAAGCAATTATTTGCATTATTGGATCGGGGATTTGACCTCGTGATTTTCACTTTTTTTTTTATTGAAACAATCCATTTCTTAATAAAACATCATTTCGACAAGTTTAATTAGTAATAAAATATTTTAATATATGAACAATATAACTATTATTTCATTATAGCTATGAAAGGAGTTGAGTGTTTCGTTTGTAAATCTAGAAAGTGGTTTCCTGATGGTTTGGGAGGTTTGGTGTGTCAGTATGGACACCAACTTGAGGTATATTTTTTAAAATACGAAGCGTTATTGAAGTGAAGATAAGGATTTAGGCTATCTAAAAAAAAATATATTTTTTTAGAGCTATACGGTACAAGAAAGTGAATTTCAGGGTGGACAAAGTGGAGTAAAAACGCGTAGTAAAGGAAAAAAAGAAAAGGCTGCTGTTAAAGGTAAATTTCGTTTAGGAAGGGATATTTCAATTTATTCGAGTATTTAAAGGTAATTTTTTTCCCTCCTTTCGATATGAAAAATTAATAGAGGAAAGATACGCGTACCATAATCAAAAAGATTTACTTTGGATTGAATTTGTTGCTATGCAATTTATACTTAGATATCATGTACAAATAATGATTAAAGATATGGGAATTACTCCACAACTTGAAGTTAGTTTGCTTTTCCTATTGGTTTTAATTCCTTCTAAAACTTTAATTAATTGGTATTATTTATAGAACGTTTGCAAACATTTATGGATAATGTATGTTAATAAATTCAATGGTATCGATGAAATCAGAAAAAATCGTGAATCAATGGATATTGATGAAGGTGAAGGTGATGGCCCTTCAAACATACAAGATGAAGAAGATAATATTGAATCATTATTTGAACTTCCGCAAAGCTCTTCAGATGATGAATATGACGAATTTGATGATGATACTACTACAAAAGGACCAAACAGAAGAAAAGATTCTAGATCTCGTAAAGATATAAAAGGTTTGCTACAATTACAATACCTTTTGGTTATTTTACATATTGGATGTTTATGGTTGAGATTACCTATATTAATTGGTGATATTCATCGGTAAAATCAGTTTAATTGAATTTATTGTATATGTATATGAATGAATGCATGTAAGATAGAGAGATGTTGACGAACTTATTCTTATCTAGGTGGATATATGATGGTACTTTACCATTTCTTTCAGCACGTCAATATTTGCCTAGAGATATAAAATTACATCTTGGAAGTCGAATAAATAAATTTGAACCAAGGGTTTGCCTTTTATTCAAACATTCGGAAAAATTTTTACAAATGATTAAAAAGAATGGTATTAATATTTTTTTTTTTTAGGTTTTGGTTCTTCGCGGCGTATTATTTGACTTGGAAACGAGATTTCATGATTTTTATAAAGTGGAATATGGAATAAGTTTTCCAGAGATTAACGCACCACCCATAATTTATCGATACGTTAGAGATTTGATGTTACCAGGTATTAAAATTTAAAAGAGAGATTGTTCTTATTTCACCTGTTTGTTTTTTTTTACATTAGATGTTAATCAATTGACTTTTAATACTTAGTGGAACTTTATGTTATATCTAAGGAACTTGCACAATTAATTAATTTAAACCTTTTTCATGAATTTAATCATAATAAATATAATAATTATCGACCTTCTACGTTATTATTGGCAATTGTTATAATCGCTGCTAAAATGATTTATGGTTTGGATGAACGTCGAAGGTATTTCATTTTAAGAGAATGTCGTTTATCTCTATATTTCATCATCAGTTCCCAATAATTCTTTATTAGGTTTCCAGGAAAATACGATCAATTTACTAAACATTTCCCTTCATTTGAAGATTGGATAAAATCTTTAAGTGATATGAGAGAAGCAGTATTTAAAAAAGAATTACCTTTTGATGCATCGTAAGTTTTTTTTTTTTAAAAAAAAAAATTTCAATTGTTTATAATAAACAAATGATACTATAGATTTTTTTTTTTTTTTTTTTTTTTTTTTTTTAGAAATATATTTTAACTTTACCTTTTTTTTCTGTTTTACGGCGCTTTGATTAAAAGTGATATAAAAGAATGGACGAACATCAATCCAGATCAGTACATTAAATATTGTGCTAATTTATTAGGTAATAGGAATCGATTGTCTGGAGGAACATTACGTATCGATCAAATATATACAGGTATGAAAAAAACCTTTACTTATGCAATTCTTATTTAACAATAAAAATTTAATAAATTCTCAAAAAAAAAAAAAATAGAAATCGATGAAAGATCAAAACCGTTTAAGACGCTTAATGAAACAATCGTACAAGAAATCAAATTAAAGGAAGTCGAATTAGGTTTAGATTCACTTACTCAAGAGAAAAAGAGATCGACACCTTCAGGAAAGCTTAGAGTAATTGAAAAGCTAGAAGATAAAGAAATATCAAAATTGTTACGATTGAAAATTAAAAAAGAATTAAATAAAGTAGCGGAAAAGGTTACTTCATCTAAACCTATCGAGGAAGAATTAAAATTATTATTTGAAACGGCGGATTTTGATCATAATGAATACAATCAATCAATATTGCCATATCAGGATAACAATAATCTTATTGAAAATGATCATCCTTCTACGGATGTGAGGAAAGAAAATTACGGTAATTTACCGGATCCTTTGGGTATTTTACGTCATAGATATTCAACTTTTTTATTTAAAAAACCCGAAAATCCTGATCAAAAATTATTATTTGGAGAGAACTATACTGCTTATCAAGTTCCTATCTTTTCACAAAGATACAGGTATGATAGAAATGTTGAATTAATAGGGGATTATCACGAAGATTATGAAAGAGTTTTGATTTTTGCTTCTGATATGGTTGGTGAAACTATTGACGAATTACAAAAACATATTATGAAAGTTGAAGTTGATTTATTACTAGCCATTGAAAAAAAAAATTGGAACATTTAATTCAGTGAATTTGTTTCTAAAAGTTTGTTGTGATGAAATAAATCTTTAAATGCTTAAAAGTTTAACATTACAAATTTATAATTGTTTATGCAATAATTCATTATTATGGATATCATATTATATAGATATATATATATAAATATATATAAAATATATATACGAGTCCATCATAATTATTATTAAAAGCCAACAAAATTACTCCCCTAAAGTTTTATATTTACATTAATCAAAGATTTCTTAAATACAAAAAAAAAAAGAATTTCTTCACCCCTCCCATAATAATTCATATCCTTTCCCCTTGTCAATAATAACTTGGTCTCTGTTGCCAAGTTGAATGACCCATTGAATAACCATATTGTGGATAATAAGGATATCCATAAGAAGGATAACGTTGTGAAGAATAATAAGGTTGAACTTGCGATTGTGTTGGTAATGGTCTTGAATAAGTCATTTGATAACTAGCGTGCATTTGAGTACTCGTGCCTTGAGATGCTCCATATTGCATTCGCATTGGAACTTGGGAGGCTGCTGCACGTGAAGATTGTGCATACGCCATTGATGGTAAATGATGTGGAGTAGGATGATGTAATGATTGTGACGGCATTGATTGATGATGGGATGCTGAATTTGTTACTGCTTCTTTGGAATTCATTCGTGCTTCATTTCTCGCATATGAATTCATATTTACTGATGATTTAGACAAATTACCAAACACATCACGAGAAACCTCATTGGTAGGATGTGCGAAAGATTTATTGGGTGGTAGAACACCTTTAAAAGACCTTTCCTTTATTAGTAAATTATCCATGGCGTCTTCGATAGCACTGAATGAGACGATATCAGAAGGCGATACATTTGATATCAAATTAGCAAGTTGCTTTTGCAACTTATATACTATTATAAGAATATAAATGATTATTATTTAAAAAAAATAAAAATACGAAAAGGGATAACAATTAACCTCATACCATATTTTCTTTCTTTGGCAGAGATATGACTCGATTTTATCCATCTTTTTTCTTGCATTGATAGCACTTTTCTAAAGATTTCTACATGTTCGTCTAACATCTCATCAATTTCATTTGGTTGTGCACGTTTAATACTCTTATATAATAAATCCACATCAATTTCTTCAAAAAATTTGTCCTTCTTATCGCTGTTTTCCACATGATTGCCATTTCCTGAATAATTCTGCTCAGCTGGTATTCCTTCAGAAATCGTCTCTACGTTGGATGATGATTTTTCTTTCTCCTCACTTAAATCCGAATTTTCAATCCTTTTAGATACACGGCTATGTTTTTTATAAGTGCGCGCCAACATTGTATCTTCATATGATAACATTGCGTCACTTGAATCATAAATTGGTGCGAATGATGCATATGCCTTATACCTATGGAATTTAACTGAATATTAAATGTAAATTATCAATATCTATCTGTTTTTCGAACAAAGTTTCAAAAGAAAAATGTATATTTAAAATCTTGATGAAATACTAACTTCCAGGAACATTACGTTCTTCGGGTTGTAACAACTTATGGTTCTCTCTCCTTTTTGGAAGAATCGAACTAATTTTCGGGATTTCTTGTTTATCCATGGATTGCAAAGATACTACTTCCATATCCTGCAAATCACCGACTTTAGGTAAATTGAAACAAACGTTAGAAAACAATTTTTGATTTTCATTTGAATAATGTTTGGTTCCAAACTTTTAAAGATTAAATTTCAAATGAATCTGTTATAATTACCTAATTTAAAGGCATCCTTTTTTCCTTTTTGTTGTGGAAGTTGTTTGACCGCACCACTTGAAAATACATGACCATCCAAAGTTGGCTGAACAAGTGCAATCTTTTGCCTATTTTTTGTACCTTTTTTTTTATTTGAAAGGTTATTAATATTCAATTCTGAATTTGGACATGAGTCATAAATATAAAGTAATTATACTAACATGTACTTTTTACTGCACCTGAATTTTTATCATGATTCTCAAGTTGTCTTATACTACTTGGCAATTCTTTGTAAGCTTGTTCAAATAATCGAGAGCCAAATTTAAGAAGATGAGTACCAGCATTGTGCATTTTAGGGTTGGTAGTTATGACGTCGTTACACGTACAAATAAAATCATCCTTATTGAGAAAATTTTTAGTGACGCTCACGTTTACAAAAAAAAATCTGAGAATAAAAAATGGTAATACCTGTAAATCATTCAAACATTTGTATGCACGCTTAGAAATTTTAGCTCGAAATAGGGTTAAATTTAAAACTTGACCCGAATGATTTATCTTGCTCCCTATTTTCTTTGCGCTTTGCAAAACTTTCTCGGAATCATACCTGTAAGGAAAAAAAAAAAAGGTTTTAGTCAAAAAAAAAAAAAAAAAGGAATTTAACATATTTCATTCAAATTTTAATACTTTACGTTTCTAATATGTTCAATAATTTATTTAACAGCGTCATAAATTCCTGGTATTGATCATATTCTATTACAAAATTTCCGATTACCATTTGAGTTCCTCTGATTTCTACAACATCCATAAAACTGTCAATAATTGTATTGATATCCTGAATGATTTCACCATCAGATGGAACAATTTCTTGATCGTTGTTATTATTGTCATTTTTAATTATTTTGTCATCATTCTCCTTCTTATTATTAATAATACTTGATTTATCATCGCTTTTTCGCAAAGGTTTATCATGAACATTATTATTATTTTGAGCGTTATCGTCAACCATTTCACGAATTTTGATACTCTCCCGGTTTAATTCCTTACTTTCAACGTTGGTTTGGCCATCATTATGTCCAAATCTTATTGAAAGTTTCGCTCGTTTAGGAGGACTCAAAACAGATTCTTTATCTTCCGAATTTTGTGTATTATTTGAAGATGATGATTGTCTATTAATTTCATCAGTTTCTCCGAGTGTAAAAACCTCAGCGGTCGATTTTCGTTTTCGTTTCATATCAAGCGCGATTTTGTTTTGTTGCTCAATAGAATTAACCAAATCAATCTTTTGACTACTTCTTGAGCGTGTGGTAACTGCAGGTTTTCGTATTTGGGCAGATGTCGTCGAAGCTATTTTCGCATTGACGCGCAACGCATATTAGATTAGTTTACATTAGTTTACGTAACGAAAAAATTTTAACTTGACCTTTCTTTTATAGCCTCTGAAATATTCACACTTACATGAGCTAGTTTTATGTTGCCTCTTTACCATTATTGTTATAAAAAGGTTATGCGATTTAGTTTTAACCGTAAGGGATCTTTTTTTTTAAAAAAAAAAGGAAGCAAAAAAAAAACTTTTTAACGAAATGAACGACCCAGACCAACATTACACAATTTTTAATGGTACTAAATATAGTCTAGTTATCGTTTCACGTGATTTGTAAACTATTTTGACCTTTCAAAAAAATTTTTTTCCAAAAAAAAATGAAAAATGAAAAATGAAAATGTTTAGCAACACACGTTTATCAACAATTCTTAGTTCTCAAAAATTAATCAAATCTATTAAACCTTCACAATTCCCGATTTATGGAACGCGTAATTTAAAACAATCCAATTTGATAATACATTCAAGGACTTTAAGAAATTCTTTTCTCTCTTCGTTTTATTCCACTACAACGATAAATACAACCGTCAAAAAAGCACAAACGCCACAAAGACCTTTACCGGAACTTAAAAATAAAACTGCTCAATACATCATTTTTGGAATAATAGGTGTTGGCTTTTGGATTGGTGCTATAATTGCTTCATTTAATTATCAACGGCTGAATAGTAGTACTGTACAAGGAAGTCTGTTCAATTTAAAATATCATCCTAAATCTATAGAATTATTAGGAAAAAATATTAATTTCGTTTCTAGTTTTCCTTGGATTAAAGGAAACATTAATCATTTAAAAGGTCAAATAAATTTTCAATACACCGTCAAAGGTGATAAAGGTATATAAAAAAGTTTGAACTCTATTAGAATTAACGAAATCGTAATTTATAATTTATAAAATTTAATTACACTAGGAAAAGGAATTATTCATTTTCATTCTATCCGAGATGTACAAGACCGTAAATGGAAAGTTATAAAGTTTACTTTAACTACTGAAGATGGAAAAGTCGTTCCATTGGATTTGGATGAATTATTTGTATAGAAAATAAAATAAAATGCATAACTTGTTTAAATTTATTTCACGCTCATTGATTGTTCTGTCATCCAAATACATAAATCGATGTGTTCGTTAATCTCATCTGCTTTAATTGAGTTATTCCCACAAATTGGACATTGCACCGTAGACAACATTTTGGATGATGACGCATCACTGGCAGATGTAATTTGTGCATGAGACTTTTCAGTCTCATCATCCGAAATTTGAATGGGTGCATTCGTATCATCAAAATCGATGAGCCTTACTTTTTTATTAACAAAACTTTTTTCATCTCGTCCTTTATCGATCCATTTATCTAAAGTCATATTCTTTTCGCTTTTTTCATTTTCCATTTTACGTTTGCCTTCACGCTCTTTCTTTTCTGTTTGATTTGCTTTTTTTTTGGAAGGTTCTGATATTTTAATAAATGTGCCACCACAAGTTGCCTGATGATTCTCAAACCAGGAATCCGCTTTTTGCGGTTTCCTTTCAGACATATAATGGCAATTAGGAAAGTAATTTTAATAAACTATAAACAAAAGTTCTTTGAATTTAGTAAAAGAATCACCTGTTCATCGAACGCCTAACTATTCCATAATATGGTGGATTATGCTGACATGGTCCCTAATTTTAACGTCAAATTAGATTACAATAATTATCCCATTTTCCAAATTGATAAATAAATACTCACGTCACATTTCCAAACGTGTGTTTTGTAATAATTGACCTCTTCACGAAAGTTGTGATAAACTGTTACATTCGTTCCAGCCAAAGCGTTAATGCGATGCATATGACTATGAAATTCTGGTCCGTGTCCAGCTTAAAGGAAAAAGAAAATCTTTATTTTTAGAATATGAATCTTAAATTAAAAAGAAATATTTATGAATGTACCTACATCTATCTTTAATATTATGCGTCACAAAAAGAAAGGCATGGATCATCTCGTGCATTAATGTATCAATCATGTCTGATCTTGGTCGAAATTTCAATAATGGTTCGCTCATTCTTATACAAATGTAACCACCGTTTCGATACTCACATAAGCCCGCACACTTTCAATTAAGAAAACGTTATAATTAATGATATATCACAACTTTTATTCTTTAATGAAATTAAATTTGCTCGTACCAATGTCATTTTATTTGACCAACGAACTTCTACTCCATCCAATTTACCCCAAAAGTATTGTTGGTTAAATGCGAGAAAAAGTCCATGAAGATCAGGATTGGGATCACGTGGATCAAGGACCGTTAATAAATCTATATAAAGTACGAAAATTGAACAAATTTATAAAATTTACAACACTTTTATATAAATTTTTTACTTCACCTGCATTATTTTCTTTAGATTCTTCAGCTTGCAACTTAAGTGCTAATTCTAACGATTTTGAATCTTCTTGAAGCAAAAGAAATTCTTTCTTCTCCTCTTCTTGTAATCTCTTAGCAATAATTTCGTCAGTATTCTCCTCACACAATGTCAGTCTTAACAAAGTTTCGTGCCGCGCGTTTTCCATGACAATAGATGAATTTGATTGGACGATGGTCAAAGCTTACAGTATTTAATGCAGATGCAGAAATGATCAGCATTGCTCTTGATTATATAATGACGATTCCTTCAAAAACTCAAGACAAGACGGAAGAACAAGAAGCAGCTGCACCTTCCAATGTTGAAGACGACAGTTTAGACGACTCAATACCACCACAACCTATAACACTACCGAATTTTACAAATTTTAGAAATATTTATATAAATCCGATCTCTTTTTCTTCTACTATACCACCAAATAAAGACGAGAATGGTGAACCATCACCACCACAACCAAAATGGGATGAATTCTGTATTCAATGGTGTAAACAAAAGGATTTAAATCGCGATAAAACTATTGTACCGGAATGTCAAATGCTATGTTTTAGAAGAATTAATGCTCATTTAAAAAATGATCTATTAAAAAAGCAACTAGTAGTTAAAGAAGAATTAAAACATCATAATAAACATCAAGCTGAAAATGTTGCTCAAGTATTATATAATAAAACTGAAAATGGAGGAGATAAAACTGAATTCAAGGTACCAAGAAATTTTATGGATGGATATTATTTATATTACATAAAAGGGTTGGAATTATGTCAGAAACATACTGAAGGTAATAATAATATTTATTATGGTTTCTAAAGATATTTAATTACATGATCGAATTGTTTATTTATCTTCTTTAGGTATGAAGAATGATGAAATGTTCCGATCCGGATGGACACAAAATAATCCGTAAGTATTTTGATAGTGAATGAATATGTGTTATATATAGATAACACTTCATTTATTTATAGAGAGGAGTCTGAAATAGACCTTGGTGAAAAATTTGAACAAACTAAATCAGAAAGTGGTTATTTTATTTATTTATTAGCATTACTTCCTTTGTTCTTCATAAGTTATTTCTAATGTATTGCAAATACTTTTTATTTTTCAGCAAAACGTATAATAAAACGAGCCTTCACACCTGGCTATCAACTTGCAAAAAGATATGTAGAGTCATGGAAGGATGGAACTCAAACTTCTTTTTTAAAAAGATTTTATGAAAGCGTACAGCGCATGGATGCTGTTCACATTGTACAGGATAATATTAAAAAAGCTGTAGAAGTTTGGATTAATGATGGAAATGATGATGATGAAAATAATAGAAATAATAGAAATAATAGAAATGGTGGTGATGGTGGTGACAATTATAATGGAAATGGTAAGGATTCATCTAACGAAAGAAATGAAAAGTGATGATTGAAACGGATTGAGACAAACTTAAAAAAAAAAGTGGGTAGTAAAATACGGACAAGTATTTAAATACGCGTTTTAATATAACAATTTTAATTTTCAATTGAGGAAGTTTATAAAATATAGTTTCAATGAATGATTTTCCTAATATCAATAAAGGAAAGAGGTGTAAAGGTATAAGTTAAAAAATAACAACCCATTCTAAATTCCCTCCCTTTGAATGCTCTGTGTATATTTCTTCGCGACTGCGAACTTGTCTCCGTTTATCTTAATTAGGGGAAGCTGTATCACATTTTAAACAAATTAATCTAGATTTAAAATTAAGAAATTTACAATTTGGACATGTCCAATCGCCTTCTACTTCAAGAGGAGGATTAGGGGAAGGAGTATCACATTTAAAACAAACTGTTCTAGATCGAAAATTATAAAATTCACAATTGGGGCATACCCAATCGCCTTCTGCAACATAACGATTTTCGGGTTTTTCACCACAACTCTTACATGAATTTCTAAAAGAGAAATTATTAAAACCACAACCTTTACAAATCCAATCACCAGGTCTACTACTTTCAGCTGAATAATCTAAATTTCGTCGTCCAGAAATATTACGTCTTTTCAAGTCTTGAACCTTTAACAAAAATATATTTATTTAATAAAATTCAAAAAGAATTACATGATAATATGAGCAAAAAAATGTTTTATATATTGTACCATAGTTAATGTTGGTAGAATTCTCATTCCAATAGTTTTACTAAAGAAAGAATTGAAATTACTAGGTACTAAAATTCGTTGACGGGCTAAATTATTTGACATAATTGCTTTTTGAAGTAACGAAATATTTCTTTGTATAATTTTTGACATTTTGATTAGAAGTATAAAAAGAAAAGGAGATGAAAAAAATAAAAAAATATTTTTTTTTTAATCAATCAGTATTCGGGTGAATTTGAAATGACCAATCAAAAACTAGATCGACTAGAAAAAAAAAAGGTATAAACCTAAACTTTTTAAAATGCCCAAAAACCAAAACTGGAAAAACTAAGTTTGGGCGGCCATAATCCCAAACTTCAAACCCAATCCAAATTGGATAAACCTATAATTTTTATATTATCTTAATATTAATATTATAGTATATTAATAAATAAAATAAAATTTATTCTGCCTCTTTTTTAATATAAGCCTAATTCTAATAGATAAATAAATAAGTATGAATTAATATGTTCTCAATTAAAAAGCTGTGCTTTGAAACTGTTGCAAATTATTTTGGTGACAATAAGGTTGCTTGTCTAAACTCATTTTGGATTTGGCAAAATGGTTAAACCTTTAGTTTCGCTAAATTTTTACTAAGTGTTTGATATAGTTTATATTATGAATGTGAATAAATGTTTACATATGGAGATGTCTGGTTACCATTTTAGTGGATCACATTGGTCAAATTTTTGATGCAATAGAGATCAAGTCCTTTCCTTTTTTGGTTAGTTTACTAGAAGGTGATAATATAAATTTATTTTTTATATCTGATTCTGGGTTAGTTTTGATTTAGGATAGTATTTTTATTATTTTAGATAAAGATTTTGGTAACTTCTGTTTTATGTAATTTTTTATATTATATTATCAATAAAAATTTTGTGAAACTACCATACTTTAAAAAAAAAATTTATTTTAAAACTTTATACATCATAATTTGAAAAAATAGAATGGATATTATTCACATGATTCTATTTTTTTACTAACCGAAGGATATTCTTAAACATTCAAATTATCATTATAATTTGGATTATTCTTCTCGAACAAATTAAACTTCTTGTATAACTTATTATACATATATTCTGAATTGCCTCCCTTTCATTTAATTTTTTTTTCTAAATATCCAAATTCATCAGCATCATCTAACAAAATTTTCTTTAACTTTTTCTTAAAGAAAAGAAATAAATTTATACTTTTTCTTTCATTATTCTTTAAAAAAGAATTATTTTTTTCACACATTAACAATTTTTTTGTAATTTCCTTCACTACTTCGCAAGTTTCATATATATATTAATTGTATTATTATAAAACTAACTTATATAATTTATACAACTTTAATTGATTTTTTAGTATTATTAACATTGATCTTAAAAAAAGGGAACAGTATCATATCTTTGATATAATTAACAATTTGCATTATTAATTTACATAATTCTTGTATTTTTTTTCTTTCGTCTTTTAAAATTCCAAATTTTTATTTTTGATTTTGTTTTCTAAATTTATAACATATGAGCTAAAGTTCTTCAAACTATTTAATGTGTCTAAATCAACAATGCCATTAAGTTCATTTAGATGGTTAGAAATATATACAGTTTCATCCCTCTTATAATGGTATTGTTATCTTACGATACTAATGACTGAAAATTAGTATTAACGCAAGATTAACAAGGGATTTAGCTTTAAGACTTTTATGATACGATTTATGGAGAGCTTCTGAAGGTTTATCGATCAAATGTATTTTAGAAACAAAGGTGATTATAGGTAAACGATAGAGTTTTATTAAATAGAATAATTATTACAAGTGTATTTGTTAGCATACAAGTGTATCTAGTAATTATCTTGTTGACGATAAAACTAAGTAAATTCT